GTATGACTATCATTAGATAATTAAAAATGGTGTGGTTTGTATAGAGACCTAGGACTCTAAACAATACCAAATTAGAGCCTACCTTCAAATAGTGTCGAGAAATGTGGCTTTAATATTGGAAATCTTTGTTATAGCCTTAAAATAGATTTCATCTTTATCTATAAAGTTTAAAGCTTCAAAAATAGTGCAGATCGACATATCTATAAAAACTTGAAAATATTGAAAATTGATGGTTAAAAAATGTATTACAAAATACACTATTTTCAAAACTTGAAATTTATTTATTTTCTTATGTCCATGCATCTTGATATCGAGATGTTCAATTTGAGGATATTGGGGCATCAAAACAACCTCTTCTAGTGAATTTTTTGAGGTAGGCTCTAATTTGATTGTTTAGAGCGTCGGCTCTATCTAATCTTTACCTTTAAAACAATTATATTATTGAGTTAGTACAATACATTAAATATCAGCATTAACACGGATAACATTTGCATTAATTCAAACAATAAAGATGCTTTCGTAAATTTTTTCCGTAAATGTGCATTTTGCCTTCATTATGAATTTTTCAAACTAGTCGAATAAACTATAATTTTAGGTAATTTTAAAAATACTTATTATTGAGGTAGTACTATATATTAAATATTTGCATTATTTCAGATAACATTTGCATGTTTGACTTTGAGATTAGGATTTTAATTTTTGAATATTGATTCCATCGACATGATTCATGGATCTAATATGAAAACTAAATTTTGGGTAATATATGGAATATCATATAATTTTTTTTTTTATATTATCAGTTATATATTACATATTACATTTTTTTTTTTTTTTTTTGCAACTTCTGACATCCACAATGAAATTGAAAAAAAAAGCTGCGCACACCATAATACTATTTTTATTTTTCTTATTTCTTTTATTTTAAAATTTTTTAAATTGACCTTTTCTTAAAGACCTGTATTATAATATTGAATAAGAATTATATTTGATTACATAAATAAAACATATCATTAAGCAATAATAAGAATTATTTAATAGGCAAAATAATATTATATATGGAAGAATTGACAAATAAATTATTCTATTTAATATTTAATATGAATTATATTTCGCAACATAAATGATTAAGATCACTAATACCATAAGTATAAAGATTTAAAAATTTCTTTTTGAAATTCGATATTGGGCAATGTACATAGGTCATATCATTTTTTTTTTTTATAACAAGGCTAATGCTTTTGAAGTGTGCCTTAATAGCCTAATATATTGGATATAGGTATTAGCAAGACATTATGTTTTAAATAAATATTATATTTGATATTCGCATTCGAAAACCCTATATTAAATTTTCTCTCACTGTTATTTATATAACTTAAATTTTCTATCACTTTTATTAATGCAATTTGAATTATTTAATCTCTTTTTAATTTATGCCAAATGGATATGAATTAATTAAATATTTTCAAAATATTGTATCAAATTTTTTTTGGGTAAGTCAGTGGGGGAGAAGCCCCCCTACCTGGATTTTCATTAATAGAAATAAAAAGTAACACAAAATATTGTATCAAGTTTATAATTATTTGATAAAATATTAATTTTGAAAAATAAATTTCTTTATTTAAAATTTTTTAGTCTCTCTGTAATCTTATTTTATCACAAATAGTATATCTGAATTATTTATTTCTTTGATAATTTTAAAGAAATCCTAATTATTTAATAAAAGTATTGAATTATGAGGCTAAATTCAATAATATCTAATACCATATTTTATTAAAAATATGTTTCAGTGATTAATATCAAATATCACGTGCAATATACGTGCATATTATTAGTATGGATTATGTTAGAATATTCATACATATTAATATTTATTTAATATACTCAATATCTTTGGACACTTAATATGAAGTAATATTTTTGCCTAAGGGCATTTTAGGTAATTAAACAGATGTAAAATTAAAATTCATGATAGAAAAAAAAACATTTATTACTTTTAATAGATGATGACATTATCCGACAACACTCATATTGATCAATTGCTTTTTAACCATTTATAAATACCGATAAAAAATATCTATCCTATCCCTCCTAATTATGAAAAATGCCATTACTAATATCTCAAGTTCAATTCCTATCGGTCAAATACCAAAAAAAAAAAAATTTTTGATGGTCGATCCAAGTACATTTTTTTTGTTAACTCTCTTAAAAATTCTGCAAGATTTGTTGATAATTGAAGTATTTTTTTCATTAATCTAATATGCTCCCTAAGCGTGATTCTCAATTCATGGCTTAAAAAAAACACTCGAATTTTACTCTGCTCTTTCCTAAACAAAAAACCCGTAATCTTTGATTAATGATAAACACAATCTTATCATTCCATTGGACGAGAGACATTGACGATATTTACTGAAAACATAGTGTCATTTTCACGATCTTGTGTTACGCAAACCCTAGAAGGTGGTAAAATGAACCGGCTAACCAAGTCTCCAGCAAACCCTAACCCGAATCACCGGTGCGCCACACCCACGCCTTTTGCCCCCTGGTTAATTCTGTCTTCCGCTTTCTAGGGTTTTACGGGCCGTAATATCGAGAAAGACCAAACCCCCCCAAACCCTAACCCTAACCCCTCTTCCGCCTTAACTCTTGCTCCTTTTCCCTCTATCTCTTTACTCTCTTGCTTTATTCCTTTCCTCGCCTGCCATGGAAGCTCTGAGGCGTAGTTCAGGCTCCAATTCTGCGGTTTTCGACGGTCTTTTCGCCCTTTGAGCTGCTCTCTAACCTTAGTTTCTGGTAAAGCCCTGTACTGTGCCTTTTGAGTTTCATGACTGTTTTTTTTTTTTTCTCTCTGTTTATACTGTGGATTTCTGTTTAAGGTTTGGTTTTTGTGTGGTGGATTTGAGTTCGGCGCTGGTTTACTGATTCTAGGTTTTTTAGGGTTTTTGTTGCACGGAAACCAGGTTTTGAGCGTTTGGTCTGAGAACCGGAGGATTTTGGTTGTGGTAGCTAGATACTCTACAGTTGGGATTTTGTGAGAAAAAGCAATGGCCATGGAAGTGTACTGCAATAGCTGCAACCGTGACATTCTCTGTTCTATGATGCAAGTAATTGCTGTGGAGACTGCTCTGGCTTCTGCGAAGTCTCTTCCCTATCTTATAGGGATGGTACGCTTACAGTATTTGTTCTTTCTTTCTGGATCTTCTATTTTGGTGTTAATGGTGTTCCTTTATGAAAGCTCTGAGCTTTGTTGAGATTACATGGGTTTCTTTTTATATTCTCTTGTGAGAGCCAGGGTTTTATTTTTCCGATTTTTTTGAGCCGTTGCTTAGTTCCACTCTGTGATTATGGCGGTAGATATTTGTTTATGGCTTTATGCATTAAAATTTGTTTATGACTTACTGTTTGATTGTGCTACTTTGTAGATGCTGAACTTCTGTGGGTTTTTCGAAGCTCTACATTTTTGCTTTTCATTCTGTTAAGGCGTGGAACTATATTTTCTGGTGTTATGTTTCTTATTTATTCTTGGGTTTTCCTCTTCAACCTGGACTTTTTCATCTTCCTCCCTGCCTTCTCTATTGTATTTATTGGTAGTTTAAGTTTGCTTCTGCTGGATTTTTGTTTGATATTTCGAGTCAAAAGGACATTTTTTTCCAATATCATGTCTTTAAAGGTAAGATTTGGAACATGTCTGCTCTGTGTTACTATATTCATGCTCTGAACAGGTTATATGCCAGGCGATTACTCTTCTTAGTAGGGTTATGAAGCCTGGGTCTCCCTTTTGTTTCAGACATGGGGAGTTTTAAGTCTTCCATTCATTTTCATTTTTGTATATAAATCTACTGCTTTATTGAAGTCTGGAACTCTGTTTAGTTCTTAGGATTTTGAAACTAGGGTTTTCCTTGTGCAGAATTTTCTTCTGTTTGCTATGTTACAAAAAGAGTTAGGAATTTTATTTGTTCTGTTTCTTTCCCTGTATTTTCCTTCTTGATTTGATATTCTATTCTGTATATTTATTGAACCCTGGAAATATGCTAGTTCTTAGGGTTTTTAGGTAGGACCTTTGACTTTGGAGGACCATTAGTCCATACAATTTTGGGAATGGGGTTGGGGCTGCGGTGGTAGCACCACTTGAGCCTCAGCTAATGGTCTTGGCTTCCGTTCCTACCAACGCATTCGAAACCATTGACTATTCCTAAAATGGGTAGGGCCAATCCCCACTGATCTACCCCCCAAAAAAATGGGGGGGTGGGGAGTGAATAAGCTAGTACAGATGCTTGATTTCTTTTAGATTGTAAACTGTACTATCTAACATTATTTCAATCAGTCTGTTTTGTCTAGCCATGACACTGACGTGTTTTACTTTTATGGGGTGTTACAGATGAGATTTTTGTTTTGTCTAGCCATATCACTGATGTGTTATATGGGGTGTTAAAGATGAGACTTTTGTTTTGTCTAGCCATATTACTGATGTGTTATATGGGGGTGTTAAAGATGAGATTTTTGTTTGGAGATGTATACAATGAGATTATTTACTCTTGGTACAAGAAGGTCGCAATTATTTTTGGCTGGTAGATGTGAAATCGGGTAGTTGGGAATGTGTCATTGACTGGGCACACACATCAAAGCAAAATTTCTTAATGTTAGGACACTTCAATTTGTTGGATTTCACATCCAATGGTCAAGAGTGATTGTGATTTCCTTGTACCAAAAGTGAATGGTCTTATGCTATCCAATCCCTTTTTGTTTGGTCTGTTGGGGTTCTTAAATCTAGCTTTATAGTTACTAAAGAAGGTTTTTGAAGCTAGGTTATCAAGAGCTATTTTATGGTGATCATTTCAAGATGAAACTGTAAAGTTAGCTTCGCAATAAACCAAATTCTTTAGCCTCTTAAGCTATAGGTTATCATTTGTTTTTCTGTCTTTATCATATTTCCTTCTATCAGGATGACAAAGTGATAAGTAGCTACTATTGTGATTCAGTCTCGTGTGATTTAGTCTCAACTCACAGTTGCAAGTTTTCTGTTGTGTGAGATTTTTCTTGTTTAGGGGTTTGAACCTGTTGTTGATAATTGAGTCTTTCTTTTTCTTTTTTCTTTTTTTTTTTTTTTTTTTTTCGTTAGATGCTCTCAAGTTCTTTTTTTTAAAAAAAAAATTGTCTGAGGCTTACGGGGTTGCACTTACAATTGAGTTTTAGGAAAAGTTGGGGTTTTGATGACAGATGTTAAGGTTTTGGGATATGTTTTTAGATTCCAATTATTGTTTACCAATTAGGTTACGTTTTGTTTGTGAAATTGTAGTAAGCTTATGCAAGTTTGAATATTTCTTTATTTTGTGCTGACTGCATATGAAGTCAGTATTTGTTCCCCCTCTGCTTGTTTCTTTTAGGTTTTGAATCTTGGCTTTTTCTATTTATGGCTTTGAATAGTTAGTCTGTTATCATTCGAGATGACAGTATGTATAGATAGCTCTATGATGTTGACTAGGAGAGTTTACTATTATTATTATTATTATTGTTGTTGTTGTTGTTGTTGTTGTTGGCTAGGTAAATGGAAGTCTTTCTTTTTACTTTTTTCGCCCCCCTAATGGCTAAATGAGTGGAAGCTTCTTGATGGTAGGTTTTGCTTCGAGCTTAGATAAGCTGTACACCTTAAGATGGGCATTTTACATAGATGTGAATTTTGTGGTGAAGTGGAATTTTGTTGTTTTAGGCCCAATTGAATTCTTGGTGAAAGGGTTGTTTCTTATGGTTACTATGAGGATCTGGGAAGCCGTCTGTTGGTTATCTGCCTGGCCTTTTGATTTAGTTATAATATATTTGATACTATGTGCATTTCAACTTTCTTCTTGCGTTTTGTGTTGGATATTTTCATTTCTAGATTCAAGGACGAAACTGATTGAGAAAATGTCCAACCATGGGTGACAACAAAAATCTGTTCTTTCTAATTCCTAACCCTGTGTTTATGATCTCTCCTTCGTCAATTTATGTTATGTTCCTAGTGCTCATTTGTGTGGTGGAACTGTCTCAGATGACTTCTCAGTCTGCCAATAGTAGCATCTTGCAACTCGAGGCTGATAGAATCCAAGGGTATAATACTTAACTTAACCACTGTCTATCAACTTTCTCTGTAAATGAAAGGAGAACATTTGTTTAATGCCTTGTTTTTTTTTTTTTTTTTTTTTGGGGATCTATAATTGGGTTTTCTGAGGTGAGGTTCAATTGTTTGCAGGCTTGATGATGCATTGGACGTGCCAGTAATAAAAAAGGCAAGCATTTTTCTTATAGAATCTTTTTAATTTGTGGATGTTTGGAACTAAAAACAACTAATTCAGGGATTATATTGCAGGGTAGACAATGTGCTGGTGGTGCAGAATCTAACGGCAAGAACAGGACTGAAGTCCCAGACGAGAATAAAGATGATGGTGAGACAGATGATGATGATGAAGATGAGGATGAAGATGATGATCATGATGATGATGGTGGTAATGAGGATGACTTGTCTGGTGAAGAAGGGAATGAAAACGAAGGCGATGATGCAGAAGATGATGTCGAGGCAAATGGCGATGGTGGGAGTGATGATGATGATGAAGATGACGATGACGATGATGACGATGAGGATGGTGATGAAGACGATGAGGATGACGAGGAGGATGAAGAGGAGGACGAGGAGATACCAGAGCCGCCTACTAAGAAGAGGAAGTGAGTGACTTTCCGTAGCTTTTTTTGTAGGTCTTCATTAAGTTAGTGAAGGGATGTGCATCTCTTTCTCCTATCTCTTTCTCCCGTCTTTTACTATGTCCTTAGAGTTAGTCTTGAAATATTGCCCCCGGTGTGGATGGACCTCTTCTTCATATATAACAATTCTCACATTGCCTCTATTGATGGAAGGGCATTTAGCCTTCAATGTTTGGAACTTGGTTTTAGAATGAATAGCTTGGATGGATATTAGATTGCATGGTAGTTATGTGATCGTATAGATAGAAGAGGTTCTATTGAATCTAACTCTAGATGGAAAGTTCAGTTTTTATGGAAATAAATCAGATCTCAATTTCTTTCGAACTTAGTTAATTAAGTCTCGTGTGTGGTTATGTTTTGGAATATGTTTTTTGGAATTTAAGTGGTATTGTTAGAGTTGGTGGCTCGTTTGGTTCAGATGCTGCGCCTATTTAACATGTGACGTATAAAAAAAAAAACAAGGATCTATTAAGCATGTTTGCATTAGGATCCTATCAGTATAAAATGGTATTATTGACCAATTTTCATATATAAAATTGCTATTTGTTGTTTTACAAAGTGGTTTGCCTTTGCTTAGTAAATAATGATTCAAGGATGCTATGGTTACCAAGTTTATTTAATATTTGAATTGTTGAAAACTGTTCGTGTTCTATGTTTTTCACTTTGGTAACTCTAGAAACTACTCAGAATCTCTAGTTCATACTAATCCACATTGTGTTTTCATCCTTTTTGGTTTTCATCGGGCTCGGTTTTCATCTATGGTTTGGACATCTGTTTTCATCAGGCTCGGTTTTCATATATGATATGATCGTTCAGGCATTGGCATGCACTTTTGTTTGTGGGACATTGTAATAGCTATTTAGTATCTGGTATATGAGTTTGTTATATAATCTACTGGTTTGGAAGGGACAAGGACGGGTTTACGGCTTTAATCTATGCCTGTGTACTTTATTATCTTTATAGAAGGATCGGTCTCCTGCAGTGACCGCAGTTACTGTAGTGCTGGCCCTACAATCTGCACCATCCTTGTTATTGGACAGCGTAAATGGCACCAATCTCAAGATAGGGAAATTGAGGACTGGAAGCCCGAGTTACCTCCTTTTGCCTAAAACTCTCTTTCCACCCCCGCTTTTCCAAACTCTCTCTCTCTCTCATAAACCAGAGCACGCTCTCTCTCCCTCTCTCTTTCCCTCCTCTGTCTCTAACCCAAACGCACTCTCTTCCTACATAAGCCTAAAAACCAGAAGTTCAGAATCTACAAAGCACTCTGATGCTTCAGGAAAACACAAATAATGGGTGTAAGCTGGGAATTTGAATCTTTTTACGACAAATAAAGAGACTAATAAAAAATTTCAGAGAAGCAATGGTAGAAATTTGGCAATTTAGAACGAATCCATTAAAAAAATTGAATTACATCTCGTTGAATCCCGAGTTCCTTGCAACCAATTCATGAAAAACCAACTAATCTCTTCCCTTTTACAAATCAAACCCCGACATAAAAAAAAAAACATTTTAAACCGCAAAATCTGTCATATGGCTTGGATCGGGTAGTTCTTTTTTGAGTTCTTCAAACAATCTCTATGTTGATTTAAAATCTTGCTTTTCCTGCAACTTATCTCTTAGATCTCCAAATAATGTCCATGCTGAAACTCATCGAGCGAGAATTCCAACTTGGAGGGGCCCTTGTGCCATGAAGATCAAATCCCTCAACCTAAATTTTGGGTTCTTCTTGTGCAAATTTTGGGTTCTCGAGCAAAATGGGCCGCATTTTGAAGACATGAGATTTGATAGCGATCTGATATTCAAGTAGGTGTTTGACAGACTTAGTTTTATGAGAGAGAGAGGGTTGCTGAGATAGAGAGCACCATGTAGTTGATAGGCTCAAGTTTAGATAAAAAGGGGAAGAAAGACGGGGGAATGGGGGATGTAAAATGGATATCATGTGGTCAGTTGTTACCGCTTAATCATTTAAGAAAAAATGGTTTGATAGGGCTGCAACTCTATAAAGTCTCACCTCATACCTCAAAAAAAATGTAATTCAAACATTAGAAAGCCTTTACATCAATTATGTTGGCTTGAACATTATGGTTGTGAAAAAAAAAAAAAAAAAGGATTTCGAGCTCTAAAAATGATGCATATTGACAAATTATCTAGATTGTCCATTTCGTTCTAAAAATAGACAGTTAAATTTAGCCTTAAAAATGACAAATTATCTAAATCCACAAGATTTGTATCATTTTTTTAGTTTCACCCAAGAATTTGATTTAGAGCCCTCATGGAGACTTCCATCACCTAAAGTGCTTTCCGAATAAGGATTTGAGTATAGTGAATGTCCACAACTCCACATGCTCAAATGTTTAAAGATTCCTCATTGGATGATTCCTCATTGGACTGTTCTTTTGACAAATAATATCGTTCTTTTTGTAACAGTAAAAACAAGATAATTATTTTTGTGCTTTGTGATGACTTCAGGACAAATTCAAAGCTCCGTAACTCATGGATAAACCCAAGAAGCTAGAAACTTCAAAGATGCCAAAGAATATTCCTATCTCTAACTCTAATGACTTGGGATTCAAACCTGCGTAGGTGTGCTCCTTTAGGTGTCTTGCAATATCACTACCTGCTCATATTTTTTATATTTTGTGAGATTTGTTGGACTGTGAAGCTTTGGCTCTAATGGTCCTTGCACTGTGACCTTTGAGCCAGTAATAACCCGGTAGGAGTAATGATTTTATTGGGTATTTCTACCTCCTTTTTTTTTCATAATGTACCTAACATCCATCGCCCATGCCTATTTCTAAATAGTAGAGGAGTAGCTTTTCCTATATATAAACATAAACAGGATGCTCATTCCCTGATAGTGAACAACTATGATATTTATTAAGCATGAATTCTTTTAAAAAAAAAGAGAGGAAAAAAATGGATTCATCATAAAATACTATAGAAGTAAGACACTGACCTTCAATTTTTGTTTGAAGTTGTCAGAAACTTTATGAAGGCCTAAAAATCGATCTTTATCCCTTGTTATAAAACTTAAAATTTCAACAATGGTAATGATCAAACAAATCTATAAATATTTGAAAATCTTGAAATAGACCGTTCAAACAACTCTTTACAAGATATATTATTTTAAAAATTTAAAATTTATTTTTTTCTTTATATTCACACATTTCGATATCGAGATGATCAATATGAAGGTTAGCCAATATGAAAACATTCTCTTTTACAGGATTCAATGCACCTTACTTCAATAGTATAAGGTTACATAATCTCTCTTCCCAATTAAGTGCTCTAAAAAAGAGAAAAACAACCAGAACTTATTGTTGATGTTGACGAATGATATTTTGGATTTGTTGTTAAAAAGTCGTTTTCAGCTTGGTTAAACGGTACGAGTCAGCTCAACTCGCCGAATTGGGTTGAGTTTTGAAACACTCGTTAAACTGTGTTTTTGTTGTTCAACTCAACGAGTCAACTCGCCGAATTTTAGTTTTCAAACACCGGTCTGGACAAACTAAAAAAGGAGTCGAACAAGAAATGCGTGTGCAATTAGGATGAAAATACGTAGCTAAATCCAATGAAGTGAAGTAAAATATCCTGATCAGTTGCATCTACAAAAACAAAAATTCTCAGTGCTGATCAAAAGAAATAGCCTCCAAGCCATAAATCATTCTCAAAATGAATATCTCCGGCAAAAGTAATTATTATTAAATATATATTTTACCACCATGTTTCTCCGGAGAAAACAAAGGTAGATGCCAAATTCTCTGATAAACAACATGTCTCTGATCATGAAGGGCTTAAAAGAATGGGTCAAGAGCAGGTTCTGCAACTTGTCCGAGTCAACTAACCCCAAGTTGTTTTGTATGTACAACACGGGGCACGTTGGAAGAAAAAAAAATAAAAATATTTGTTTTATAGGAATTGATGTTCTTGGAGATGATTGGTGAATGTCTTTACCATAATCCTTATTTTTACATTTTATCCTTTTATGGAATTTTTTTAAGGGACTGTACACAGAGACTATTTAAGTTTATATAAAGTTGCCACCTTAAACTGTAGAATTAAAGATGCGCCTTAAAAATCCATCATAAAAGGTTGATTGGACGTTGGAAGACTTCCATCTGCTCATCTCGATATTGAAATGTATGAATATGAAAAGAAAAAAAGATTTTGAGTCTGCAAAATAGTGCCATCTTGCAACACATTATCTTGAACATCCATTTTTAAGATTTTTATGTGTTTATAGGTCTACTTGATTTGAACCATTTTTAGAGTTTAAAATTTTGTAATTAAATTTTGGAATAAAAGATGAAAGTAGATTATTAAGCCATCCTAAAAGAAAATTATATCAAAATTACATTTATGATAAAATTTAGAGGTGCACCTCAATTGGATTGTTTAAGATTGCAACCTTATGGAAACCACACCTTTTACTTTTTGCATAAAGGAGGTGGCTTAGGATGAGTTATAAAGTCCGAAAAATTGTTTTTCGAACTTTGAATCTATTCAATGGCACTACTACAATCACCCAATTTGAAATCTAAAGGATATGAATGAGTGTAACCTCCTTGTACAACGGTGTCTTTGTTGTATGCTTTTGCTTTTATAAAATCTTCCTATATACATTTTCTTTTAGATCTAATTTTTTTATATTTTTTAAGGCTCCTTCTACTTTTATCTACTCTTACCACCTTCATTAAAAAAAAAATCATATTTTATATATTTTTAATTTTTTCTAAGCTTTTTCTGCCCTTGTACATGACTCCTACAAGTCTACTCAGACTTGCCCGAGCCACTCAGCTCGGCCAAGGGCAGAGCACCTTGGCTGAGTTGAGACTCTAAACACGCAGCAAGTCCAATGAAAAATTAGTTACTGTACACATTTATTAAAAAACCAGACAAAAGAAAATTTTATGGTAGAAGTTACAAATTCTTTTATATGAGAGAGAGAGAGAGAGGGATTCCTTCAGTTGTAGTAGAGCATGTGAGTTGAAATATTCAGCATAGGTTACAAGTCAATTTAAAGTCCATGCAATCAGTTTCTAGAGAGAGAGATATTCCTTCAGTTATAGTACAGCCTGAGAGTGGAGATATTCAGGATAGGTTACAAGTCAATTTAAACATTTCTAAAGTCAATGCAAACAGTTTCTGCATAAAACAATATTCACCAACTAAAAACAGCCGCAAATGAGATTTCCTAATTTTATTCCTTTCACATCCAGAGCTACATTTTCGGTCCCCAAAATCCAGTGGTCAAGCTGTATTGCGTAATTGATTGAAGCAGTGTGCCGTGACTCAGTAAAAAGGGGGGGGCCGAGTTTTCCCGAGATGAATGTATAACTCGGATAAAATAAATAAAAATAAGAAATTGCAATACCTGTATCAGAAGTAATGACTTGTTTACTATAGATTTTGGCTCTTTCAGATAAAAATGACTTCAAAGAAAGAAGTTATTTATTCAACAAAAGGCCACACAGATGGTCTGAACCTTCTTAAGTGTTAATAACTGAAAGAGGTGTCCTCAGATTGTTCACCAAGTGTTTGGAATAGATTAGGTTTACAGAAGATGAAGCGTGTCCTGAAACCTCAATTATTTCATAAAATAAAGAGTCAATGATCCATGAACTAGAGGATCGAGCGAAACGAATAAGTACAACAGCTTTAGTTGTATGGCCCACTATATGAAAATAGTTTTGGATGCATACTCAAAACTACCATTCTTCAGGTTCAGGTTATGACCTTAATCCGCCGCTTAATCCTGCAGATCTTTGGCAACAAGAGTGAAGTACGGAAAGCACCCATAATCTTGTGGGATGGGTTATATCTTAAGTTAAGATATATATAATATCTATGGGGTTCCTATTTAATATGGGAATTATAACTTTATATGTAAGGAATGAAAGAGGAAAAAATATGTGCACCCTATTTGGGTCACCATATGGGTAATGCAGCATCTTAAAGAAAGATGCAGGGGCCTCTTATTATCAAAATAAATAAAAATGCAGGGCCTCTTATATGTGAGAGGTAAGACCTCCCGTCATCTTAGAGAGAAGTGAGCTTTCCATGAAGACAAATGTTGTAATAGTACCTCCTATAAATAGAGAGGTTGGTTTCTCGTAGAGAAACAGTTCCCATGAAGATTTTGGATGATTTATCTTTTTAAAGAGGTAAGTCTTTGTTGCTCACATGGTTTCTTTTCTCGACAGTAGTTTAGCGTGGAATAGCGATGAGAGATCGACGGGTGATGTCGGTAGGTCTAAAAGGGTTGCTCGATTGAGTTTTGAGAAGGGTAATTATGTGTCTAAAACTTTGTCTGGAACTTTGTGACAACTCTTATTAGTACAATTGATTTAAGTTTGCAATGCCTGTCGATGTAGCCTTTTAGGGTAAGGGGCATGAATCTTTGTGTTCTTGTGGTATGTGTCTTATGCTTTACTTGTCGTGCTTCTATTATGATTTGTATTTGCCTATTTTGTTTCTAGCCAGTTAAGTACAGGATCTTGGTGAGATTCATCTCATAGGATTCTTAAATCCTAATAAAAAGCATCTGTATCACAATCAGAACAACCACTTTTAACTTCCTCCAAAAAAGAAGTTTCTTGACAGGTTTGCCTCTTCCTATCACTTTGCAATGTGGATTTGGAATTCACCTAGGACACATTGTGCAACATGAAGAAACAACACAAAGAATTGCTGACACCTTATCACAATTTGAAGAACAGGAGCGTGAATGTAATGTTATTGCCAATAGCAACATGGTTAGGTAATAAGAATGTGACCATGAACAACTAGAGATGAAACCTCGTACGTCACCTTAGCCTTTTTCTTATCAATATAGGCCATTTTGGTGTTTCTGGACTCCTCTCAAGAATTATAGTTATTTACTGGTGGGAATTACAGTGACACCAAAGAACACCTAAATGCTCCCAAGTTCTACAATAAAGTGGAAAGTAAACCCGTAGACAATGTTATCAGTTTTGGCCTAATCGGTCAAAGTCTTCGGATTTTGATGCTCAACCATAGCAAAGCCAAGATAATATGACATTTGCAAAATCGCAGTTAACATGAAGGTATGAGTTGTATTTAAAAAAAGAAAAAAGAAAAAAAAAAAGCAAAATATTAATGTCACACACTATCCGGTTATTTACTTACTATATCAATGTGGCAAGTAGGTACATAAAACTGTACTCTCTCTCAAATAAAGAAGACCACACTCTCAAAAATACATGCTCTTTTTCTAAAATATACGAGTATATAGGATTACTAACTAAATAAAAAATAAAATTCACGCCTCAAAAAGTTATTTTCAAAGCTGGTAATTTATTAAAATTTATTTTCATGCTTTCTAATTTTGCACCAATTTAAAAAAGAAAAGAACGTGCTCTCTTTCACGCACCATCATTATGCGCATGTGAGAATGAATGAGTCTGGGCAAAATTAAAAGTATTTTAACATTTAAAAGTCAAATTCACAAAATTTGTTGTTAAAATGGTAATTTGCTTTAACATTTTTTGTTTCTCTAACAATAGGCTTATGATATTTGACATTTCTTTTTTTCTATTGTTCTTATAGCCATACCTGAAGATATCAACCAATTCGGCCAAAGTACCAAAGCTCTTCCATTTGTGGGCCACATTGACAAGGCCTCCAAAACAAATCTGATAAGAACGCCCTTAGCCACCAATTGATGGAGGAATCACAAAAAATGGAGACCCAGTCAAGATATATCTAGAAAGGTGAAGATTTACATCATATCGGACAGGAGGCTACCATGAATAATAAGTTGCAAACAAAAGACATCACAATATGATGTAACCTAAGATAAGCCACTCGCCAATCCTCGATTACTGCATCACAATAGTTGCCTGCATTCCTCACTCAGGAAACTTAAGCTCATTTGAGCCCACAAAAGGATCAAGATGTCCTCCTTACTCTTTGGCAAATAAAAATATGTCATGCAAAATTTATTGCTGAGCACAAAGCATGTCAAAGACAAAGGGTGACACAATAGGGCATCTTTTAATTCCTTCCAATAGAGAGAGACATGGGTCTATCCAGGCTCGCTACGATGCCATCTTACGTCCTCTTGGGTGTGGCCAATATACCCATGGATTTTATTGAGGTAAGCTCATATGCCAATCGAAAAAACATATAGTCTCATCAGACCAAGTACACTGACTTCTCAATTGGCAAAAATGAAGCAAAAGTTGCTTCCCTTCTCCTTACCATTTACACAACATGAGTTAAGCTTGAATGATCTTGAGTCCTACTTAGATGCGTCATAATGGCCATGCTCAGTTATAAGATCCTTCTAATGTTGATAATTCTTTTGGGTGTTAATTATTTTATGTGCCTATACTAATAATGCTAGTCACTTCAAGTGTTTCTAGATCCAGTTGCATCAAACTGCAAATGCAGAGCATTTTGAATATCATACAAGAGGGTCATCCATAAGCTTAGCCAAATAATCTAAGAATCGCCTTAAAAAAATAGCAATGCACAGTAGAAGGATACTATTTCACTTCAAAAAACGATTGTACTTGTCTCGAGTATTCTGGATCGAGTGGCATCGAAATGCAGATACAACAATTTTGAGGATCATAACATACATAGGAGCCACAAACTTAGCCGAATAATCTAAGAATCACCTTAAAAAACAATAGCAATGCACAGTATAAGGCAACAGAAAATCACAAATGAATTGCAAACATCCACAACCACAGTTGTAGGTCATCTCATGAAAAGCATTTCCATCACAAATCTATGGGCAAACTACAAAAATCTACAGGAAAAAAGCAACAAAGATTATTTCATTCAACCATGTAATTCCAAATAGATTGTTTCATTCAACCATGTAAATCCAAATAGATTGTTTCATTCAACTATGTAATTCCAAAATAATAGGTTCACTAAAAAAACTATGAAAATTGCAGCTGGTTATCTTAAGGAGGAAGACACAATGATGATATTATGTTCCCAGACCATATACATCATAAATCATCCTGATAAATGAAGTGTAAGTTACTATCGTTATTTTTTTTATCAATATAAGGAACACAAATCATCAAGCCTATCAAAATGCCAATAACCATATGACAGAAAGTAGCATCAAATTCAAGATGGAGGCCCTCACTCAGGCAGTTTCCCCGACCTGAACACCGCAAACTTCGACACAGTGGAGTATGTGTACGGCACCGCATTCTCCTTCAACAGACCCTCCAACATCTCCCTTGCCCGCTCTGGCTCAGCCGTCTCACACTCCACCTCATAGCTCGTCCCGAACCCAAACCTTGTCTCGTCAACCTCTAAAACCAACCCATCCCATTCATGAACAGCCCTCACATTTCTAAACCCCCCCAAGTAAACAAAATCACTCAATGCAAACTCATCGACAATTCTTTGAACCAATTGTGAATTGCTCCTCGTCAAACGCCACGGCTCCCCAAGGCATGCCCGACCGAGACTCGGGTCGAATTCTTCTTCCTCTTCTTCAGCTCGCGCTATGCCATCCACAATTACAGATTTGCCCTTGAGGGAGATCACACAGTGGGTGTCGTTATCGTAAAAGCGAAGCCGGAGGACCAAGCGTCGAGATGAGAGTTCTTGGTTGGGTCCATCAAAGAATGCATTTTCTTGGAGGTGGGTTTTTTTGTGGAAGGGAGAGAGGAGAGCACTTAGCTTTTGGTGGGCGGTGGCATCAGGGAGCTGAAGCTTCACTTCAACTTCCATACTTTTCAGGGGGTTCTTTGAGGATGTTGGGGATTTTATGTTTTGGTTCAAGGATTCGAACGAAGCTCCAGTTCAGGGATCTTCTGGATTTCAGGGTTTCTAGCTTTTGATAAGCCTGGGTCCAAAGTCAAGTCCTGAGCCCATCTAGGTTTTGGGAGATCTTAGTTTTAAGGGTTTTTGTTTCAGGGGTGAGGCCAACCTCCATTTATAGGATTTTTAGGACGTTTTAGGATCATGATATTTTGGCTTAGGGACTGAGGATGACCTGAAAGTTTCTTTCCTTTAGGGTTCAGAGATTAGGGATTGAGGCCAATGCGTTGAGGCTTGGAGGAAGGGTCTTTGGTGGGGTTGAGGTGATGGAGGAGAGTGGAAGTGGCTGTTTGTTGTTGTTGTTGCTGCTGCTGCTGCTGCTGCTGCTGCTTTTGGTTTCTGAGTTGTTCTAGCTCCTCGCGGTCTTCTTCTTTAACCTCTATTCTCGTTGGCTTTCTCCTCAGCATTTTTTTTTCTGTTATAGCTGCAATTTATCGCTCTCCAACTATCCTATACAGTGGGAGAGGAGAGAGAAGCACGGCTTAAAAGCATGGATTAGTGACACAATTCACCGATCCCGAAAACCAGTCCGTATCAGTGGATCGGCGGTCCTCGGCAATCCGGCAGAGTGAACCAGCCAATAAAAGTTTAAAAAAAAAATTAGAAAACAAAAAAAATTGGAAAAATAAAAATAGGACCGACCGATTCTCAGGCATAACCAGCCGGTTCTCAATATTTTGGCAGATCCCACGGGCTCTTGGTATGAACCAACCCGTTCCAGTCCAGTTCCCAACCGGTTCTCAATATTTTGGCAGATCCCACTGGCTCTTGGTATGAACCAACCCGTTCCGGTCCAGTTCCCCATTTTTTTAACACGGTAGAGAGTTTACATTTTTCGACTTATGGTATGTCATTGTTAATCAATATTATGGTACACAAAACGCTTATGGTATGCTATTCTTAATCAGTGTCATAAAATGCACCACAATAAAATCATATACACACACCTTGAGGTTAGGCTTAGACCCAATCTTGGTTTTGACCGTAGGGTCACCGCCCTATATGCCCTAACTACCACTTTTAGTAAAGCCCATTCCATCTCCCTATGGCATGTGAGGTTAGGCTTAGAGCCAAATCTTGGTTTTGACCGTAGGGTCACCGCCCTATATGCCCTAACTACCACGCTTAGTAAAACCCATTCCATCTCCCTATAGCATGTGTATATGCACTTCCACAAACATGTTTTTTATACATGATAGAGATATCTACATTTCTACACCAATCAATTTTTACAAATTCACAACATTAATTTAATTCGTTTTTTTTGGGTAAGTAACACTCATACAACTCGTTACTTATCAAAAAAAAAAAGATATCTATTTCATGTTTACGTATATAATGGCACAGGCAAACACCATTCATCATAAGTGATAGAAAGTTAGATCTTGTTAAATTCCCTCATTAACTTGTTAGACATTATGGGCAATTGATGTAACTGCAAGCACACATCAAATACAAGGCTCCTAATGTGAACAAATAACACCATCACCACTATTTACGAGGGAGAGATGAAATCTGCTAGCACAATGCTCCTATCCTCTCTCTCCAGGTCAGTGACTCAGTGACATACAAACATTAGCCACAATAGACTGTTAAAACTTGAAATTTGCTAGTTCAAATAACGATAAATACCACAATGATTCCAACAATCAGAGCATGAAATAGCACAGGGGCTTTCTTAGTAAATAGAAAGAAGTACCATGCATGTGAAGTTGCAAAATGCAAGCACTCCTTTTCACTCCTCTCTCTCTTTCTCCATAAGGGCTAGAGAGTGAGAAACTACAGCTCTAACATGAAGTGATGAAGAGAAGGCAAACGAGTATAGAGGTAAGACAGGAAGACCTTGAGAAGCTCAAATTTGAAGTAACCCTTCCACTCTCCTCTATCACCTTAACTCCACTAAAGACCCCTCCTCCAAAGCCTCAATGCCTGATGTCTAAACCCTAAAGGACAAAGTTTTACATCATCCTCAGTCCCTTGGCCAAAATCTTGAGAACCAAAAAGCCTTAAAAACCCTGGAAATGGAGGTTAGTCTAACCCTTGAACCAAAAACCCCCCCAAAAGCTAAAAAGGGCTACAACTTACTTGAGCCAAAACTTAGAAACCCAAAAAACAAAAAAGTTCCCTGAATTGGAGCTGGGACAAAACTTGAACCAAAATTGAAATCCTCAAAAAGAAAACTACAAAGAGAAAAAAAAATTCAAGATAGAGTAAGAGAGATATAGACCACACTGAAATTTGAGAGAGGGAGAGAGACCAACATCAAATTCAAGAAAGAGGAAGAGAGATATCGATCAACACCAAATTCAACACAGAGGGAGACTAACATCAAATTTGAGAAAGAGAAAGAGAGAGCAACATCAAAACAAGAGGGAGGCCCTCGTTCTAGCAGCTTCCCCAACCTGAATACTACAAACTTCAACATACTCGAGTATTTGCACATTCCCATTCTCCATCAACACCCCTTCCAACATCTACCCACCAGCTTTTAAGCCATCTCGCTCTACATCTATAGCTCGTCTCAGACCCAAACCTTCTCTAGCCAACAGTGTTTCGAGACTCGGCAAGGTCTACTCGTACTCAGTCGAGTAACTCAGTCTCGCCCTATGGGCGAGACGAATTTGCCCCGAATACATTGTACACACATTTTTAATGGTTATATATAATAATGTTCAAGCTTTAATGATGAACACTCAAGTGGCGTGCTGGGTAGTGCATGTATGTTGTCCAATATGTTGAGAGTTTGAATCCCTCCCTTAATATGGCCTTTTTGTTTTTATTTTTTTAAGAGAAAACATGAGTGACAAAAAAAAGTTAGAGAAGAGGATTTGATCCCAAGACCTTTTACAAAGAATATTCAATGCACGTGCTCTACCCAACACACCACCAAATAATTTATCAACAAAAGTGCAACGCTAATTATATATGAAACAAAGAATATTCAATGCGCGCACTCTACCCAACACACCACCAAATAATTTGTCAACAAAAGTGCAACGCTAATTATATATGTATTGTTATATTACCTTATTTTTTTAACAAAAGGAAGACTATAGATAAAAACGAGGATTCGAACCTAAGACATATCACGTACAAGGCCCCCTAAGAGTGCCGAAATTGACCACCATGCTATTCCATACTTAGTGCCATAAAAGCGAAGCAAATATTATATATATTCTAATTTATGCAGTGATTTTTTATTGTTTAAACTCGAACTTTACTCGGGCGAGTTACTCGGACTCCCCTGAGTATCTCGAGTCAATTTTCTAAACACTGCTTGCCAACCTCCAAAACAAATCCCTCCCATTCATGAACCACACATTCCTAGAACCCCCAAAAAACCAAATTCACTAAATCTAAATTCATTGACAATTCAAATGCCATGGCTTCCCAAGCAAGCTCAACCTAGACTAGGGTGGAATTCTTCTTCAGCTCAAGCCACGCCATCCGCAATTACCAATTTGCCTCAGGGGATTACATAGATATGTTGTTATCATACAAGAGAAGGTGGATTACCAAGCAGCGAGCTAAGAAGTTTGAGTTGTATCTAATGTACAAAACATCGTACTCGGCCCTTGGTCAAGCCAAACTACTTGGGTGATTTCGAGTAACTCGCTCGAGTAGAGTTTGAGT